TTACTTTAAAGTGACGTGATGTCGTAAGAGAGTCCATGGCGGGGGTTGCGGGTGGCTTAAGGCTTTAGTCGGCGAGAGTCGGTGCGCGCGAGTGGTCGCGGAGTGGACGCGGACGAATAAAGCGGCGCGGCCGCTGAGTGTGATGCGAGCGCGCCGCCCGCCATGGCCACGCTCGGCCTCTCCAAGGTGTTCATCCTCGACAAGTACTTCACCGAACTGCAGAAGTTCTGGGAGACGGAGAAAAAGCTGCAAGGTGAGCGTCGACGCACGGTGTCGCTCTCCTCCACCCGTGTTCTAAATAAAACCTTTCGAGTTTCGTGAGCCCTTTGCTCTTTTGTGGCGATGACTCACGATGGTTTAGTTTCCTCCGAAAAGTGATTGTGTTTAGTGTGCAGTGATTTCCATAAGATATGATTACTTAGTCGACCCCGAAACTGGAAAATATCTTACAATGAAGATCCTTTTGAGAGGGGTATGAAATTTACATCGGCTTTACTTAAAAATAACGAAACAGAAAAGGGCGCTTGCACCTTGGTACAATGTAATTTAGAGTTACGTCTTGGGAAATCATTCGAGAGGCTGTATCTGTGGCGATGCCAAACGGCAGCAAAGCTTAAACTACGTATAGGTATACGTAGGCCGTATCCACCTATGAATTGGTGTTTTCTAAACTAGAAAATAATGATCCTGTGAGCTGTCCCAATAAAATAACTGATTTAGGGATTGAAATACTTTCTTACGAAATTTCAAGTAGATATTCAGAAATTAAAAAGATTTTTTCTTTATTATCTTCCCATTTTAGTTAAATATTCATTCCTCAGTTCTACCGTGCTCATAGAGTGGGTTTGAATATAAAAAGAAACACAAACTTGTTTTAGAATAATATGAAAGGTAAATTAGGTGAGGTGGGGGGCGGGTGGCGGGCGCAGGTATCTCGGTAAATTCGGCCCTTCCCCGGCGGGCGGCGAGGCTCAATGGATCTGAGCCGGTTCTCGGCGCCCTCAAACATATCTATAAGTACATACTAGAGTAGCGGTGCCAACTGCCAACGAGAGAGCGAAGCGAGCCCCACGCCACCAAACCATAATATGTAGAAAGCCTTCGTTCTGTTAAAACTTTCAAACGAGTACCACCATATTTATTTAAGTGAGGCACTTTATTTTCCCTTTTTTATTACGAAGTAGGTCACTCTTTAACCGAATACAAAAAAACGCCGAAGTAGGAGATTAACAATTCGGCGCAAACAGTTTTTTCATAATTTCATTATCGGTTTGTTGGGCTTATTTATTTTCAAAGTAAAACGAGCGTGATACAGATAAAACTGAAAACATCGTTAGCTACTTGAGACTTAACGATCAAGGGTGATAAAATCTAGCAGGTATTTGTCAGTAATTAATACAATTTCTCTGCACGATAATATGATGTTTGCACATAAGTGTATATTTCGGGCGAGGTCATTTGGCGATGACTGTTAGCCAATCCGTTTTGTGCATCTTACATCGTATTTATATATTATATTCTAACAGCTAACGTCGCATACACAGATCCGAGTATAGACACACGTTGAATCTTACTCGTATTATATTTGACGCAAGCTTTAGTCACTGAATACAGAAGTCGACTAGCTGAACGTCAATATGCGAAAGTAGGAAAAACAAATCGGTCGCATCTAGATGATCACCTGTGGCGAAAAATGCGTGAGGATGCAATAAGCAATTACTGTGGCTCGCCGCACGCCGGACTACTGCTCCGTAGCCAATCGGATTACACTTGCACACGCGAGTAAAACGATATCACCGATTGCCAGAAAACAAAATATAGTCTTAGAAATATGCACACTCCTCTAAACAACTCAAACTTTATATTATAACATATCACATCAATATGTTTTTGCTCAAAACAATGTATCAAGTATATTCTTTGATACTCAGAGAAGAGTTCTGTCGTGGCTGTCAAAAGTTTTTTTATATTCATTTTACCAAAACGAGTAATATTTTCATGTCTCGTTGAATTTTTGATGTGAACAGATAACACAAAGTTAGGATGAAATAGTTACAATTCATACTCTCTTTAAAAAATATATTTAAAGAAGCAAGAAGCAAAAAATGTAGGCTGTCGTTATACCAATATATATTAAGGATTTACAGTCACTGTCCTAAAAATAAATTTCAAAGCGCATTTTATAGTAGGGAATCGCGTCGATCATATGACTAATACAAAAGACATCAACGTGCGCGTTTGGCGATACTTGCCTTGAGCTTTTCGCGACTTGTATTTTTTTTAGTGATTTATTGCTTCATTCGCGTAAAAATACATTTGAAAGGCTTAGGTGAAGGCAAAGCGAAGCTGCTCATGAAGCTCTCAACAATTTTATTGTTTTTTAAATGTCACAGTAATAAAAAAAAAAGGGTGTGTGTGTCAGCTAAGACGCACGATTGGAGTTTACTCCTTACGAACGATAAAATGGCGATAATGTTCTGTGGCTGTTGACCATATTTTCATACTAAAGGTGGTAAGAATATATGTTTTTATAATATAAATGTTTGTAGTAGTAATAAAACGTACCTACATCATCTATGCCCAAATAGGATTTTCTTTCTGTGACCAAAGTTACCTTTATAGTAAGAGAAGAATAAGAATGAACAATCTTTTTAGTTTTAATTTCACTGACCTTTACTATTGACAAAACTCTATGGCACGCTAGATAATCTACTTTTATTTTTTACACCTGTCAACACAATTTTAACGGACTGTCAAAACGTGAATTCAAAATAGAAAAGTCTGTGTAATGTATTCCATCTCATTATTTTACACGTTCAATCCATTTGTCTCTTTCTACATAACGCCTCAACTTTTCGTGTTACACATAACGCCTCAACTTTTCGTGTTACACTTGATTTATCCATTTGTCTCTTTCTACATAACGCCTCAACTTTTCGTGTTACACTTGATTTTACTCCTCATAAAATTTCCGTACCGGGCCTTATAACTCAAATCGTTTCTTAAGGAGTAACTCCAATAAACTCCAAAAAACAATTTACATCTGATTAATAATCAGATTCTACGTATACATAAACAATTGGAAACGTTACCTAAAATATCGTTTAACTTTGAATATTCAACGTTGTTATTAAATTCACTATATGACTATCTATATTATGATATTTTCTAACACTTTGTCAAATTCACATTCAAACTTTCTGGTGAATTTCATGGTAGATGAATAAGACGGAACCTGATGTGCCATATTATTTATGGCTTATTTTGAAAAAAAAAAACAATATGTTGGAGCCGATGTGTTTAAAAGCCAACGAACTATTATAACAAAACAGGTTGCACACGTGTTGTCAGAGAGTAGGTATAGTTTGTATATCTACACTACTCTAAGGCTAAATTAATATCAGCAGATTTATTAAAACGCGGACGAATATTAATAAGATATTTTTGTCCAACGGTTATATCCATATCGAACGCAGAGGATCTATCATGTCTCTTTTGTTTACGTGTGTCTGTTTGTGTCGTGTTGTCACAGTGCCATACTGAATCGATCGTGTTGTGAAATATAATATACTCTGCGATGCTCTGTCAGCACCGGCTGGACGTAGTGAGGCGAAGGGAACTCGGAGAGACGTCGGAGCAGTGCGGGGCGCGTCAGTGCGGAATGTGGCGGCGAGGGCCCGACCGGTCGACGCCCCTCGCCCCTCCGCCGCCCTCTCGCGCATACCACACCGAGTCTCGGAAAATTTGTATTATCTTTCAGACCCGTATTCTATTTCCTAACCCGGTCAAAATTCGTCAGGACAATGACATAAAGAAAAAAAATATTAAAGAGCTGGATCTAGATTAAGGTGTTCATTCAATTCAATATCGGTAATTACTATTTCCAGACGCGTCTTCATCGAACGAGGCGGTCCACTTGCAGCGGCGACTGTTGAGCCTCAGCTCGGAGCTGGTGACGCTCCGCAACCATCTACATGTGGGCGGCCCCGGCCAATCGGGTGGAGCGCAGGCCCAACCCGCCGTTAGCCCGCAACCCGCAGTCCCGCCACGGGCGCCGCTACTGTTGCCCCCGCCACAGCCGCCACCGCCGCCGCCAGGTTTAAAATAATTTACAGTAACAATAGTAGAACCCTTTTGTATTCCAAATCTTGACGCGTGCTCACGGTCATTAATTACATGATCACTTAAATATATAATTGTTGCCGGGGACCTATGACATTTTTTAAATAAGGAATACCTTGCGTAAAGTTATGTGTAGACAGACAAGGCATACCTAAATCCAGGATGCTGCCGCCTTCCCAGTTCATCATCGAACGTGAACATCATTCGAAATATTGTGCAACTCTCGGGCCTTCTCACGGTTCTCGCGATTATTCGTATTGAGTATGTAAAACTTCAGAGGTGAGATGGCGCGGAGGCAGCAGCGCCGGCGATGTCGACGACCTCGTCCACCTCCGGGGGCCGCTCACCGAGGACGCCATCGTGAGGGCGCTGCAGACCAGGTTCTACCAAAATAAGTTCTACGTAAGTAGGAAGTACGTCGCCTTTGATGGGAGAGTGATCCGATAAGTCGCCTAACGTCCATACCGTGTTTCAGACGTCGGTGGGGCCCATCGTGGTGGCGCTCAATGCGTACGGCGACGCCGCCAACGCGCTAACGCCGGCTGCGGCGCGCGCGCAACGTCCCGAGCTCACCCGGCTGGTGCGCGACGCTGTGCGCCACCAAGCAGATTCCGGCTGCCCGCAGGCGATCATCCTTTCCGGTATGTTTACTCGACGTCACTGTGACCGACCGGCGTTCGCAATTCGATTAACGTGCAATTATTAAATCGACAAAATCCATAAAGAAGGTTTTCCGTACCGTGTAGGTGATGAGTTATTGTAACGTTTCAGGAGTGTCCGGCTCGGGAAAAACGTACGCTTCCATGGTGCTTCTCCGGCGGCTGTTCGACGCCGCCGGCGGTGGACCCGAGACGGACGCCTTTAAACACCTCGCCGCTGCATTCACAGTGCTGCGCGCCCTCGGCACGGCTGCGACGCGCGCCAACGCGCATTCGACGCGCATCGGTCATTTTATCGAGGTGCAGGTCACCGACGGTGCGCTGTACCGCACTAAGATACACTGCTACTTCTTAGACCAGACGCGCGTGGTGCGGCCTCCGGCCGGCGAGCGCAACTATCACGTCTTCTATCACATGTTGGCCGGCCTCGCGGCCGACGAGCGCGCCCGTCTGCACCTGGACGGCCTCACGTCTTCGGACCTACGATACCTCGCGCCCGCCGCACCGGCGCGGCCTCGCGCCGACGCCGCCGACGAGGACGCGGCGCGCTTCCAGGCTTGGCGCGGGTGTCTCGGCGTGCTCGGCATCCCCTTTCTCGACGTGGTTCGCGTGCTCGCCGCCGTGCTGCTCCTCGGAAATCTCGTCTTCGTCGAAAGTTCGGACGGCGGCGCGGAAGTGGGTGACGACGCGACGTTGGCGGCGGTGAGCGCGCTGCTGGGTGTCGGCGCCGCGGCTCTCGCGCGAGGCTTGGCAACGCGAAGCGCCGCTCGAGGGCGAGTGCGCGCGCCGGCGACGGCGGCCGCCGCCTCCCTGGCACGTGATTCGTTGGCGAAGGCCCTCTACTGCCGGACGGTGGCCACAATAGTGCGGCGCGCCAACTCACTGAAGCGGCCGGGCTCGACGTTGGGCACGCTGTCATCCGACTCCAACGAATCTGTGCACCAGGATGCTGCGTCACGCCGAGCGTCGACGGCCGGCAGCGGCGCACGGAGTCGAGCGGGCGCACGCTCAATGGCCGTGCTCAACGATGCGGTGCGTCACGCAACCGACGGCTTCGTGGGCATTCTCGACATGTTTGGCTTCGAAGACGCAGCGCCCTCCCGCCTCGAGCACCTCTGCACCAACCTGTGCGCGGAGACCATGCAGCATTTCTACAACACCCACGTCTTCAAGGTAGCCGACGCTTTGACTTCCGACGTTCAAAGAGGGTGTGATTTTGATTATGTCCTCTCATTGCCTATGTAGTGACTACAACAGAACTTACATAATATAAACTTTCTGCAAATTACGAGTGCTCGATCGGG